TTATCTACAGAGGACCTCCTCTCTGCTGAGGGTGTCTTTCTCTCCAGAGGGCCTCCTTTACAGAGGGCATTCTCTCTACAGGGGGCCTCCTCTCTAGTCTCTACAGGGACCTCCTCTCTACAGAGGGCTTCCTATCTATATAGGGCCTCCTCTCTTCAAAGAGTCTCGTCTCTACACAGGACCTCCTCTATACAGAGGACCTCATCTCTGCAAAGGGCCTCCTCTCTTCACAGGGCCTTCACTCTACAGAGGGCCTCCTACCTACAGAGGACCTCCTTTCTACTGAGGGAGTCCTCCTCTACAGAGGGCCTCCTCTCTCAGACGATCTCCTCTCTACATAGGGCCTCCTCCTGTCCTCTCTTCAAAGGGCCTTTTGATTTCAGACGGTTTCCTCTTTACAGAGGGCCTGCTCTCTACAGAGGGCCTCTTTTTACAGAGGGCCCCTTTTTTACAGAGGGCCTCCTTTTTGCAGAGGGCTCCTCTCTACAAAGGGTCTCCTCTCTAAGGGGCCTCCTCTCTACAGAGGGCCTCCTACCCACAGAGGGCCTCCTCTCTACTGAGGTTTCAGAGAGGCCCTAGCGGTCAGACACAGACACTGGTTATTAACAGGAGATGAGAAGGACCCTAGCTGTCACTTGTCAGGTTGGTCAGAGGGCCCTGATTGTTCTGACGTCATTTATTTTATATTCCCGCGTGAATTTCGTTCGCCTCCGACGTGAATTTGGCCAACGTGTGCCGAAGGCCCACGTTGGATTCAGGCCGAAAGGATTCAGGCCAACGTGGGCCTTCGGCCCACGTTGGCCTGAATCCTTTCGGGGGGCCTCCTGAAACCCCAAGGGAGGGGCGGGCGCCCCCTCCGCCCCCCCCCCCCCTTGGCTACGTCCCTGGCCCCGGCCATGGCCGGGGTGGCCGGGGCAGGTTCTCCACCTATGGCTGTACCACGGATCACATAACGGATCGGCAACTCCCCCCGCGACCTGTCTTCCCTGCCACCTGGTGGGCATTTAGGTGAACTATCTTCACTAAGGACGCGGCCGGCCTCGTGCGTGTTGAGGGCGTCGTGTCGGAGCTAATTAAGTGATTTTTCTGCGGAACATGGTTTCTCAGCTAGCTCAGAAGATATCTATGGCATAAATGAGAATGTCAAGAATCGTTAGAGACAGGTTAAGTGTTTGCGATTGTATCCTTTGTCATGAAAATCGTTGTTTTCACACCCACGTGGGCGACCTAGCGTCCATCGCGAAATTGGTAATTTTCCGATCGCTGTCATCTCTTACATATATTCATGAGTATATTTTTGATAAATATTCATCTGCCGATTAAATCAAACCTGTAGCTTTCACAAATACCTATACTTGCATAAAGTATAAACCCACGCCGGGCCGGTACACGGTACCAACCGCGCCGGGCCGAGGGTGCATGAAACCCCCGCCCACCCCCCCCCCCTAACTCAGCTTCTGGACCACGTAGCCATACGGGGTGAACGACATTCGAAAGAGCGTAAAAAAATGGCGGAAATACTTTGGTCATTTTTTAGGTCAGGTCACCAGAGGTCTTAAAGTTAAAATTTTGTCTATTTGAACAATTTTCGAAACACCCGACGCATAACATGGGAACCAATAGAAATACAGCGCCGCAGAAAAGCGCATTCGATAGCTCTTTCACAGGCCTTTCTGAGTTTTATTCTTAGATTTGACCTCAGGTCAATGGTTTAGCCTCCAGAGGGCAAAAACTCCAAAAATAGCCGTGTTACGAAAAACAATTTTTTTGTAATAACTTTTGACTCAAACGAGCCACGACATTACTTTTGCCATCATCGTGTTCCTCTCGTCGAGACGCGTCGAATGAACTATAGGTTGACCTTGAAAGGTCATTTTGAAAATTTTACGTCAGGTGAAGGTCATGACCTGACCCGAAATGGTCATGCTGCATATCAGTCAATCCGTATCGTCGAGATGAACACATCTGACGTGTTTTTACCGCTCTAGCACGTCTCTATCAAAAGTTATATTTAAAAAATCTGCTGGTGACCGTTTTCATGTCACTGTTTACATGTAACCCGATATTTGAGGGTGTTAACAATGACCCGCCCAGACCAAATGAGACGCCTTTCAATTTTCTCTTATTGACTTATGTGAGTGTTGAGTATGAGGCAATATATAGGGTGCAAAATGACCTGACCTGGCTCTAAGCCACAGATATCTTGAGATGTAACAGGTGGCTAAACCAGCCTCGGGGCCAAAACTATAGTCACTGTTTAGCGGCACGCTGCTACCCAGTACCTAACATCATCAGGTATGGGTGCCTCCGTTCCTATGGAAACGTAAGCAAACTTCACAATGTTGCCCACGTCTTAATGGAAACCGGCTAAGTGTCGATACCTTGTAGCGGCGGGGAGGGTCGTATCGTGTAACAGGGGCCGAGGTCCACCTATAGTCACGTTAATGGCCAGCTCGTTGGATTTGCTCCGATGTTATCTACTCCAACTGGTAGCCGGTAACCGTCTAGATAGGAACAGGGCATGAACTCGTACTATGGGCAGACGGATGAGGAAAGGTCTTCGTGCACGGCCAAAAACGACGTTTAAGTTGCGAGGACGTGCTTGCTCATACAACTGAAGCATAACTAGAAACATTTGGATCATTATGCATGCTCCAACTGATTAGGGAATAAAGTATGTTAACATTTCCATGTTATCCCGCGCCGGGCCGGGGGGGTGTTTGAACACCCCCCCTGCGGTTTTTCGCAGATATCTCAAAAACGGCGGCGCGGATCGGCGCCGTTTTTGGCACACCTGTTTGTGCATCTTTTCCGCACATGTTGTGAAAATGTCAGACCCAGGTCACCTTAGGTCAGGTCACCAGGTCACGCCAAGTGACCTCACCTCAGAAAAAATAAGAATGCTCGTCATAGCTATACCGATTGATCGATTGCCTTGAAACTTCCAGCGATTGATTAGAGCAACATTATCTATAAAATGTATATCTCGGAATTTTGATATCGGTGACCTAAGGTCAGGTCAATTTTGCGACCTCTCCATTATAAGTCAATGGGAGAAAATTGAAAAGCGTCTGTTTTGCACGAACGCTATTCTAGACACTCTCAAACATCGAGATGTAGGTAAAATGGACTCACTGAACCGGAAAATGGCAACTGTGACCCCTCGTTATGTCCCCGAGGTCATCTCAGGTCACGAACAGAATCTAACAGTTTTTCGCTAATAACTTCTGATAGAGACGTGCTAGAGCGCTGAAAACGCCTTAGATGTGTTCGGCTCGACGTTGCGGATCGACTGATATGCAACATGACCTTTTCCGGTCAGGTCATGACCTTGACCTGAGGTCAAATTTTCAAGTTGACCTTTCAAGGCCAAATTATAGTTCATTCGACGCGTCTCGACGAGAGGAACACGATGGTGGCAAAAGTAATGTCGTGGCTCTTTTGAGTCAAAAGTTATTTGCCGAAAAAACGTTTTTCGTAAAAACGGCTATTTTGGGAGTTTTTGCCCTCTGGAGGCTAAACCGTTGACCTGAGGTCAAATCTGAGAACATTACTCAGAAAGGTCTGTAAAAGGGCTATCGAATGCGCTTTTCCGCGGCGCTGTAGCTCTATCGGTTCCCGAGATAGCCGTTGGCAGTTTCCAAAATGTTGAAATAGTGGACATTTGACCTTTGGTGACCTCTGGTGACCTGACCTTTGACCTGACCCAAAAAATGACCGAAGTGTTTTCGTCCTTATTTTGGACGTTCTTTCGATTGCCGCTTACCGCGTGTCGCTACGTGGCCCAGGAGCCGAGTTAGAAGGGGGGGGGGTGTTCAGACACCCCCCGGCCCGGCGCGGAATTTCAGAGCACCGGCCCGGCGCGGGTTATGGTAACATTCCAGCTGTTAGTGTAATTTAAAGGGACCCTCCCACCTTAACATTAGATTTGAGTTGAGATAGCCAAAATGGGGTCCCTGGCTCACAATTACCGGTTTCGGCACTCACAACATCGAGAAATGCCTTAAATAGGAAATATTGAATTTCAAAATTGCAGCATTTTGATTCAGAGGGGCTAATGCACAGGAATACCCCTCTGAATGTGTGACGTCAGCGCAGATATCTAACGATTTTTAAATGTTTGACTAAAATGTTTTGTAGCACGCGGTGGTATATGCTGCTTTGCGCGCAACAAGTGCCGCACTTTCAGCTGCCAATCTATTACTTCCAAATAAAGTCGCTAGGAACAGCGGAGATCCCAAAAAGTAAACAAAAGTAAAAGTCTAATATCTTGAAAACCGGTGAATATTTTTCGGTGAAATTTGGTAGATATTGGTTTTCGCTCTTTCTGAACCGAGCGACATCACTTTCATGCCAATTCATAAACTTTTTTGAAGGTGGGAGGGTCCCTTTAATCCGTTCACAACCTTTGTTTGTTTTTGTTTTGTTGGGTTAGGCCCTTTCGGTCCATTGAGACCATTGCAGAGCCGGAAGGAGTATAGGAATTGGGGGAAATATTGGTGTGGGCAGGCAAACTAGAGAGTCACCGGGGCTGAGCCCGTCCGAATGGACAGGCCGACCAGCCCCCCAAGCACTCTCTGCACCCGGCTACGGGGTGCGCTCCCTCGGGAGCAGCGGTGCCGCTCCAAGGGCACCGCATGAGATAAAGTTGCCTGTCCAGCCCGGATCGAGAGCTGCTGCGCGAAGGAGAAGGATTTGAACTTGATCTGAACATCCTGAGGATGGAAACGACGGACGGGTATTGCGTTCACACCCGTTTCCCTGTGCCTTTTAACACTGGTTGCGGCGGGCGGCCGGCTCCCCTCCTTAGTGAAGATATCCGCGCCGCTAGATGGCAGCCCGCTCCGCGGGTACGCCGATAACAACCGGACAACTTTTGCTTTCAGTCCCTCCCCGATGAGAATTTCCAAATAGAAAGCTCATGCTTTCCACCTACTATTCCGGAACAGAGTGGATTGACTGAGAAATCAGCGAACTCTGCCACAACTCAATGAACTTACTCTGATCTTCCGGCCTCTGTCCAGATTCAGGCCGGCCGTCATTGTTGACCATTGCCGCTGGTGAGGCGTGGAGTAGGCTGTGATATTGAGGAATGGCGCCCTGTCCTCCACGTTATTGACCAGCCTGTGGATGAAGCGGGTGTCATAATCACATCTGTCAGTAATAGTTAACTTAAACGTCACATCATTGCATGATATAGCTTTTTTGCCACTGTCGTGTTTCTCTTGTCGAGACGCGCCGAAATATAAAAAGGCCTACTTATTAGGATCCACGTCTACACAGCTAATGACAATTGAACTAGTGACTTTTGAGCTACCGTAAAACGGGGTGTTAAGGGACAATGGGGTGCTAAGGGACAGTTGCGTGGGAAAAAACTTTGAGTCATATTAAGTTCTTAATTTGAGAAAGTTAAATAAAAGCTTGAGTGTGGTAGTTGACACTGTTTTGTTCTTTACTATAGAACAAAATAGCGTGGCTTTTCACGCAAGTGATTTGGTTCAAAATGGTTTTGAAAATATTGCTACATTTTCACAAAATTCAAACATCTCCAAAACTCTGTGTGTACCACATAAACTACACCTTTTTGCAATTGAATTCAACCATTGGCCATAACTGCTTGAGGAGCCATTTCGACAATCGGCATTGAACACAACTATTCCGGCGTCGTGTGTTTCATTTCAGCCATTCGACAAAACAGATTGAACACTGAAATGAGCGATCTGCAAAACAGTTTGACACTTCGCCATGACTTCGGCAATAAGCAAAACTCCTCGGCATTTGGTGATATCACTTCAGCAATGTTCAAAACATAATAAATGGATATCCAGGCTGTTCCATTCACCACTTGAGCGTGAGCATTATGGGCATTTCTAAGCACTAAGTCAGCCGTTCTTTATAGCTTCTTTCTAAATGGAACAGTACATACGGTAATTGTCAGTCAAACCATGCAGTACGTGTATCTTACCGGCGAGCAATGCCAATCAATACCGCCGACATTTTTGGCTTAAAATTACCTTTGACATCATTTAGTTAACAAGAAAAAAGCAATGTGCTCCCCTCGGGTTTTTTTTTGTTTTTGCTTGCAATGTTTTGCTTGCAATGCTACACATACAGCTGAATTCAATGTGTGAAATGCATGCATTGAAGTCATTTCCGTCAATGCACCATACAATTCCAACCTAGCACGCCTACGTTGGTCGTTGGACACTTCATTACAAATTTTTTAAATTAATTCGCCTATTCAAAGACGACCTCTTTATTGGCACATCGAATAAACAAACTGTCCTGATGGCGGAAGCTGATGAACACCATGCACATCTGCCATGACGGTCGCCTTGGTATCCTGGAACTCCCTCATGAGGGTGCAAGGTTTCGCCAATTCATGAGGCCTATCTCATTTCGAGCCCCAGGGCAATACTGTTCACCTGACTTAGAATAAGCGTAAGGTGTTATCTGTCTGGTGTGGGACTTACGCGCACAAGGAAACATGGTGAGCTCCCGGGCTCAGCCGAACGTATATGCTGGGTGTGCCGGCTGAGGTCGGTCTCGTCCAGTGAACACTTACTGGCCGCCCGGTGTGCTTGTTCCATCATCCACTCGGTTATATGAGGGACATGTCAAGGATTGGGCCCCATGACCTGCTCCATACCCCTGCGGCCGCCAGTGCACGCGATCATTTGTTTCGATCATTGCTGATCTGTTTTTCTTAATGCTGAAATTTCCATAGACGGTTTTGGCCAATCATGAATTTCCGGCTGCTCAATGACGAATAGTTTCGACCATTGACGATTTGTTTTGCACAATGTTGAACCATTCGCTCAATGTCGAGATGTAGAGGAGGATCGCCGAACAGTTTTGCACAATGGTGATTCTTTGTGACCAACCACCCATTTGTAGCGCCACCTATATGGCGAATGTGTACAAATGTTTTGCCCAATGGTCAAAGGCTAACGCAAAAAGGTGTAGTAGGTGTACGGGGAAAAAGAATGCATAGGTGTATTGTCACAAGTATTGCACATGTTTCCTGAAAAACTTATACAAATCGCCCCATTCATTCATCATCCTCTTCCTCTTTTTCCTGACACATGCATATTTTGAGGTGAATGTGCGGTGCTAAGGGACAGGAAGAAGAAATAAAAAAAAATAATGTTTAAATATAATTTCATAAAGTTTTCATTCAGTAGGCATGGAAAACACTAAATTCCACATAAAATGCTGGAAAGTTCATGCTTTTATCTCTACTCGTAACACATCTTAACCCGCGCCCCAGTGGCGGTCTCAGCCAACTTCGCCCTAGTGGGGGGGGGGGCATATGTTACCACCCACCTCTAACTCAAAAACTAAGAGGGCTAGAAAGACGCGGTAAAAAGCAGTCGATAGCGCTCAATGCGTACGTTTGAAAGTATTTCAGTCATTTTTCATCTTAGAGCAATATTGGGGTCACCAGAGGTCATCAAAGGTCAAAATTTGCCAATGGTCATTATATTTTTCAGAAAACATGCCGTTATCTCAGGAACCATGGTAGCTAGAAATGGAAAAGCAATCGATAGCTTTTGAACTCTTCTTTTGATAAGGTCGTTATCAAAATTGACCTCAGGTCAACGATATAGCCTCCAGAGGGGAAAAACTCCAAAAATAGCTGTTTTTACGAACAGTATTTTTCGACAATAACTTTCGACTACAAAAGCCACGACATTTCTATTGCCAGAATCGTGTACCTCTCGCCGAGACGCGTCGAATGAATTATAATTTGACCTTAAAAGGTCAACTTGAAAATTTGACCTCAGGTCAAAGTCATGAACTGACCGGAAAAGGTCATGTTGAATATCAGTCGATGCGTTTCGGCAAGGCGAACACAATGAGACCATCCCCAGCGTTCTATCTCTTTCCAATCGCAAGTTATTGGCAAAAATCTGTTTGTAGCCTCAAATGACCTCGGATGACCTTTCTAGAGGCTATTAGCAAAAATGACACCTTGGTCATCACGGGTGGTCCAAATCATTGTGATTCTGAAATATTTGGACTGTTCCTATGCGTACACACGGATCTAGAGGCATTTTCATTTTTCTCCATTGACTTGTAATGTAAAGGTCACGCCACTGACCTGACCTTAGGTCACGGATATAAAAAATCCGAGATATACAAACTGTAGGCGCCCATAACATCATGCAATCCACCCAGTTTAAACCTTTCTGACAAACACTGCAGGCTGGACATGATTGCAAACTTTTTTAGGCTTGGTCAGTTAACTTGACCTGGTGACCTGACCTGACATGACCTGGGGTCAAAAATTTCACACATTGTCCAAAATTGATGTACCAAAAGCTACCCCAAGCGGTGCGGCGCATAGCGCCGCGGTTTTTTATTCACACGCAAAAAAAAAACGCGACAGGGTGGTAAACATATGCCCCCCCCCCCACTGGGGCGAAGGTTAAGTTACATAACAAAACACCTCAAAAATCCGTTAACACTCTCTTTTACAATGATGGGTCAATGAAGACTGATGTAGGTAAATGTGGTGTCATCATAAAAAGGCCAAAAACAAAGAGGGCAGCATCATGACAAGTGACTAGCTTCAAAATGGGTTTTTGTTGATGACAGAAGGGTACTTTTTGGTTCTGTTTACCTTATAATTAGCACATTTTCCAGAAGCGTTAACTGCATTGCATGCAATTGGCTAAAAAGGCCATAAGTGTTGAATGAACCTGACTTGTTTTGTGACAGAATATGCAAAGCATTTCAATAAATAAATTGTGTGCCCTTTCACACCCCAAGTGGGCATTTGATGACCATTTCTTGGAATAATATAGGTGTCCCTTAACACCCCACATTGGGGTGCTAAGGGACAGTGATGAAAAATAATAAAAAATAATATGCAGGTATATATTTTTAAAACTTTCATGTAGCAGGCATGTAAAGCACCAATTTCCACATAAATGCAGATAATTTGATGCTTCTATCTCCAACCCTTCTTGAGTTATATAACAAAACACCTCAAAACTGTCCCTTAACCCTCGCCCATGTAGGGGGGGTTGGTTGGTGCAACCCCCTGAGGTTTTTCTTAGCTACACGCCGAACCGTTTCAGATAGCCTGCTCAAATTTTCGGTACCCTATGGGGCATCCTTTGCGCAACTTTTGGTATTTTTTTGTCAAGGTCATGTCAGGTCACGGAGTTATGACGTCATAAAGGGAACAACATCCGGCCAGATTTACGCTAAATTGGAGATTGCTTCACATTGGTATAAATGCCGACTGACCTGACACACTGATGGATTGTTTTAGAATCACAACTGGCTGATTTGACATTGGCACAATGTCCGTTGACATTTTGAAGGTCATTAAAGGTCAAGGTAAGGTCAGTGACCTCGGTTGACCTGTAATGACTTCTTGCACTTGTATGCCTTTTCGGGGTATTTTGATGTCCTGAATTCGAATTTGCTATCCATTTTAGGCATCGTCGGTTGTTTCTTGTAGTTCATTTTGGGTCAGGGTCAGGTCAGTGACGTCACACGCCTGACGTGACCCAATGCACAAATGACCTTGCAGACTTCCGATGCTCCCAACGCATCATTTTTGGAGTTATGACATCGAAATACACACCAAACGATAGAGAATTGATCAAGGATCACGAAAGTGAAGGTTTCAAGTCGATATCTCTTACCGTTTTGCCGCAATCGGCGCGGAAATCTGAAAAGTTAGATTTTCCCGAAAATTTGACCTTTGACCGGTCATAAGTAGGTCAAATGTTGACCTAGGACCAAAAAATATACCACCAATCGCGAGATCTCGTTGAGAGCAATCCGTTGGTCTTTTCCGCTAAGCTCTACGACGCTCCGTTTTCAAACGCCAGGGGGGTCGCACCAACCCCCCCCCCCCCTGCATGGGCGAAGGTGGCAAAACACCGTTTACGGGCGAGGATTAACCCGGCAGGCGGTGGGCCTACCAGCCACCTTCCGCGCGGTGGGGAGGGGGCATTTTTTTGCCCCCCCCCCGTATCTCAGAAACTACTGGACGGATCCGGAAAATTCAAACGGCGTTCGATAGCCCTGTCAAATTTGTCTAAGGAAACCAGATTTCATTGACCTCGGGGTCACTGATGACGTCACAGGTCAGGTCAAAGATA